ATATTCAGAACTCTTTATTTGTTTTGGTCTGCTAACTCTGGGCTTTTTTTCCATTGATGATCGTTTTGATGTTTTAACTAACGATTTGTTTAACACATTTCCATCGCCAGATATCGACCAGTGCACTGAGAACAGCCACTCCTGCGCTCAGATTTGTATCAACGAAATCGGAGGATTCAGTTGTGACTGCTACCCTGGTTTTGTGCGCAGTGGCGTTGACTTCATGAATTGTACAAAAATAGAAGGTAACTTGAAAGAAGCACTGCATAAGCTGAATATATAACTCGCGGGGTTACGATGCCGATGTTCAAGATTTGAAAGCTCTGGGAGATAGACATTAACACTGCTATTATAGGTAAATGTTGATGCTTTCTTTTTGCTCCTAGAAAAAAGGCAGTCAGGGTTTAAGCTAATTCGAATAATTCATTCTAAACCACTAAAAAGGCAAGTTTAAGATTAACCAAAACGTTAGGCTGGATGAGGATGTGAGATGAGGTGGTTTCGGGGTGGGGGTGGGGGGTGGGGGGTGGAGGGATATCAATAAAAGCTGCAAGTTGAAGAAAGATAGGCTTTTTCCTGATTTTTAAATTGTTTAATCCACTGCTCTACTGAAATGGTAATGGTTACCTTACAATCAAAACTATTAATATTTATTGTCTTCACAAAGTTTAATTACTGTGAATGCTCCATCAATATTCAGATAACACAAGAATCTAAGCTCTTTTTAAAAATATACAATGAAGCTTGAAACGGTTCCCATTACCTTTCAACCTTTTGACTGCTCCCAGATGCTGATCCGTGTGCAAACCTTACTGATGAATGTGAGTACGGGTGCCTCAACGACTCGGGATCGCCAAAGTGTTTTTGTCAAGTCGGTTTTAACCTTGCACCCGACGGCAAAAAGTGTGTGGGTAAGTTTCAGGCCCGTGGTGTAAGAAAATGCAATAAAAGATTATTGAGAAAGCACCAGTGCAAAAATATAACACCTAACGTTTCAGGCAAACAGCCTTCTTCTACACACAAACACACACACAAACACACACACATATACACACACACACACACACAAACACACACACAAACACACACACAAACATACACACACACAAACATACACACACATATACACACGAATACACATTATACTTTCTCACACACCTCCTCTTTACCTAATATAATAGGTTTACATTCACATACGGACTCACTGCGCATAAGCGATATGAGCAATTATTTACAATTTAATGTTTAAGCTAATTACACAGTCAGTGTTATGTTAGCATTCCGATAATAGTCCGAAAGCATGAGCTTTAAAAGTCGCAAGAAATAATTATTTTTCTAAATGATTAAGGTAGTAGGAGTTTAATGGGCAATATTAAAGCGATCGTCTGTATCATTCTTTGTTACACGTTAGGAGCATGCAGAGTTTACTTCTTACATACATTGTAATATATTGAGAAAACGAAGGATGCTGGTGGTCCAAACCGATGGAATACAATTTTTAAATATTTATTATGTAACTAATCAGCCTAAGGTTGTTCTCTAGATGTCCGGACAGATGAGATTGAATAAAATAAGATCATGCTATTATACTAATGTGTCAACTGGCCTCGAATGGTCAAGTATACATAATTTTCTACTGTTTTTCTCTCACCTAAACCATACACATACTATTGTTTTGTATTCCCTAGATGACAACGAATGTGACCTGAACTTGTGTTCTCAATTTTGTAATAACACGGAAGGCAGCTATATGTGTTCCTGCTATCCGGGATATACCTTGGCCGCAGACAGGCTCGATTGTGAAAGTAAGTAGCTGAATATTATAATAAACAAATTATAATAAAAACATCAACTGCTACACAAACCACGACCTTTCTAAAGTTCCACAACAACAGTAATAATAACAATAACAGGTAACTGACAACAACGACAAACAAACCGAAGAAAATGGTCAGCATTTAGAGAAATCAATTAACTCTAGACAGGTACAAAAATACGAATCTGAGTTTGTCAGATATTTATGAGTTTGACAGCTATACTGCCTAAAGATTGTTTTATTTTGGCAAATATCTTAGTGGGCAGACTCAAGTTTAAACAAAACAGGCAGCAATGATACTTTGTAACTTCATTTTCCAAAATTTCAAAAGTTTTCGAAAGTTAGTTTATTATAACATGATTCCTTCTGCACGACTTCAAAATAACCCTAGAACAATTACTCCGAACAAGCCGCAATACAAAAGAACGAGCGAGACAAAACTCGTCGACTCCTCAAAGTCACGTTTTACCCATCGTTACTCTGTATGCCTTAAAGCATTTACCTATTATTTCTTTACATTTTGTTTTACCCTCCACCATTCTATCTTAATTTCCTCTTGCATTCATTTTTCGCCTTTTCCATTCTTCTTCCTTTTCCTTCACTACAGGTTGCCCCTCGAACTTCTTTGGCGTCGACTGCAAACAACGTTGCGAATGTCGAGGGAGAGCCGAGCGGTGCGATAACACTCGGGGATGTATCTGCAATCAGTTCTGGACTGGACCCAATTGCGAGACAGATGTGGACGAATGTGAGACAGTAGCCAACATTTGCCCAGATGACAAACAGTGTAGGAATACCAACGGCTCCTACGTGTGCGAGTGTCCAGTGGGTTTTACAGACACCCACAACAACGGTAGTTGTTATGGTGAGTATACAGCAGTCTACATAAGGTACATATTATCTATACGAGTATAATGTGGCGACGGTAGTCCAGTGGTTGAGCTATCCAACTTGTAATCGTGAGGTTGGGGGCTCGGGAGATCTAGCCTCAGGCTCGACGTTATGTCCTCGGGAAAGGCACTTCACACGAATTTTCCTCACTTCACCCAGGCGAGAATGGGTACCCATTCCATAAACAGCGAAAGACAGTGTATTTTGTATTAGAACCTGCAAAATAGCACTTAGTGCTGTATGCTTCCCAAGAAGTTGTTGTTGTTGTTGTTGTTATTATTATTATTATTATTATTATTATTATTATTATTATTATTATTATTATTATTATTATGATGATGATAATGATGATGATGATGATGATGATGATGATGATGATGATGATGATGATGATGATTATTATTATTATACGTTCTGAGCTTAGCTAGTCCCGTAATTTTAGTGTCAAGTCCACAGGGAGTTACTGATTGAATCTTTTCTTCAGGGTGTTGATACGGAGTACTTTCAAAATGCAAAAATTTAAAGGGTTGGAGGTTTCCTGCAGTAAAAAAACAAAAACACAAAACAAAAAACAAAAACAAACAAACAACAAAACAATGGAAAACTATGAAATTAGGCATTTTTTTCCCCCTCGATTTTTATTGTAGACCTACTCGTTTTCTGAGTGAAAGATACCGTGACTTAATGAGTAAATCTCTCTCCACCTGCAGATGTCAACGAATGTCTTTCGGCTGCTGTGCACAACTGCCCCCAAGACTGTGTCAACAACCCAGGATCTTATGCATGCAGATGTAAAGAAGGCTACATTTATGTGAGCGCCAACAACTCATGCATAGGTGAGCCCACCATTTTTGTGGTCCCTGCACAATTTTGGACCTTAATCTGTTTCTTATGTAGAGGTGTTTTAAGCCCCGTTGATAGAAAATAAAAATAATTAAGGACGCAGGCTTCGACCCTGACCGCCAGGGTCAGACCAGATTGAGAAGGATACAACATCCTTGAAGTAAGACCGAGGTATTCGATAAAGATTCTCCTTATGCTGCGATGAAGTGCATGACAGCTGTGCCAGACGCCCGTAATTTCGGGCCTGCTAGAGTTTATGTTTGTTGTTGATTTTAATCGTCTCGGATGGTCTATGTTCTTAAAGGAGGAGAAGAAAGTGCTTGAATCCTACAATGTTCATCTCTCTGGGATTTGGAAAAATGATCGACACTCTCATTTTACCCCCCCCCCGAGACACACATATAAAAGCACACACACATACACATGCACACTAACGCCACCTCATACACACCCATAGAAAAATACAAAAACATACACAATTTCTCGGGTACAAAATCTTTTTAAAAAATGATACCTATATAAACTTATATAAACACCAACAGAGATTGCAGGGGAAAACGTCAAAGTCATAAAATATTCGTTATTAAGTCTTAGTTCTAAAATTTGGAACTTCATATCTTTTAGAATTATATAAAATTGTCAACTTTCATTTTTTAAACAGATGGTGCGCCTTTGCTCTATCTTGTTTAATATGTTTTGTCTTATTAAACTCATTTGTCGTGAAGCCCACAAGGGGGATGACTCGAAAAAATAATTATAAGATGTGTATCTGTAGTTTTCTTCCCTGATAGCATTCGTATATATTATGTGTAATACATAAATATACACGAGCCTCCTCAAAATGAACGCCCTCTACGCGTTGTAAATAGTTGTAAAGCGGGGGCTCTCGTGGCCTAGAGATTAAGGTGTTGGCCTCTCATTCTAAGCTCTCAGGTTCGAATCCGGGAAGCGACCGAAAAATTTTCTTCTCTAAAATTGTCTCCTTTCACCTCCTTTCCTGCTCTCTAGCAATGTTTTATTGTCTGCTTTCATTTCCACTTTCTGCCCCCACCCCCTCACCTCCTTTGCCCCTCCTCTAGGCTCCTGACTCTTTCTGCAGCCTTTCTATTGCTACTCCTTGGCTCCTCCTCACTACTGTCTTTCTGCCACACCCCTGATCTTCTGGTAGGAAAGATCTACACCTAGCCTTCTCGGACAAAGGCGAAAAATCTCGGAGGGCTCGTGTGCAAGTTGCGCACGTTAAAGATCCCTTGGTGGTCTAAAATCAATAAGAGTAGGCTTCGGCCGCCACCCGGGCAAAATTCAAAATTTCCTACCAACTGAAAATATTAGGTGTGTCCCGCGCGCTCATATGACCTTATGCAGTTGCGAGCGCCGTAAAACACTTTACAAAAAAAAAATAGTTGTAAAGCGCATAGAGCACTCTGTAGTGTGAGGATATGCAATACACAATGCAATCATTATTATGTAATTATTACGTTCCCCCCCCCCCCCCCAGATATCAATGAATGTGAGACAGCGTTGTCAGGTTGCCAGCACATCTGTGTGAACCAGGAAGGCAGCTTCAACTGTGAATGCTACAGTGGTTTCGTATTGCAAGCAGACAGAAAAACTTGCCTGCAATGTAAGTATTGTTTCTTGTGACGTTATTTAAAAAAAGTAATTATGAGTACATTTGGTTTCGCAAACACTTAATGAGCTGGTTCAAAAATTTGAAGTGGAGTCTTGGTTTATGATGCTTTGCTTTCAGTTAACTGATTTGGAGGCACTGTTTGTAGGCTTCAACTCAGGAAAGTTTTGAAATACCCCTTTCTTAAGTTTTCTGGAGAAAACATTTAAAGAAATAAAAAATTGGACCAAGTGGGGTCTGTACTTCCACTTTATATCTATTTTTTTGTTTAAAGTCTAGTATTTAGCAGGCAGATACATTGAATGTAAAAGATGAATAATACTTTACAAGAACATAATGTCGGCCAGCTATTCAGATGACGAAGTCCAACATTTTGAAATGATATACAGCACTTTCTTAATCAGTGCTGTAAGTTGCATGTACACTAGAAATATTGTGAGGACATTCAAATTCTAACTAAAAAAAAGGAGCAAATTTTAGGTACAGTTTTTTTCTAGAAAAAGGAAACAGTTTGATCTCTCCTGAACAATTTTGCATTCTGTGCTAAAACTGTAAATATTTGAATATCTTGCTGATAACGAACACTATTGTGAGAAGTAGGAATTTGCTGACTGTTTTCTTTTGTATTTTCTTTTCCAAACAGTCGAAGAGGTGTGTGCAAGCTACAGTGTGAACTGCAGCTATGCCTGCAGAGTTGAGGGGAACGATCCAAAGTGTTACTGTCCGAAAGGTTTTGAGCTGTCTTCAGATGGATACTCTTGCATAGGTCAGTATGAAGATATTGTGCCAAATATTGATAGCTGATATAATCTAATCTAAATGTAATTTTTATTTTCTAGCTTTATGCGTGCACGTGCTCTTTGTTTTGCGCACACGTGAGTGTGAGTATGTGTGTGTGTGTGTTTGTGTGGGTGTGGGTGTGTTTGTGTGTGT